GTATCAGCTTGTATGTTGTCCAATATAAAAACAGGGATGAGTTAGAAATACATGAATAAATTGGTCTCAGAGAGAAGATGCTTTGAACCAAATTTAGCTACTAGCTACATTCCATTTGTAGTCTGTGGGCCGAGGAACAGCAACATCAAAACACAGAGGAACACGCTGATGAAAGCTTGAAGGATATTGAAGAATAAATATCAATATCAGATTTATTACTCCCTCAAATCAGTATTGGCATTGGCCCAAAAAGTCAAACTCCAGAGAAAACGGAGAGGGAGGGAAAGCTCAAGTAGGGAAAAACGGATTTTTGATTAAGATCCAAGAGCTGGAGGGTCAATCTCTATGACCATAAATGCATGGACTGGGCGAAGAGGAAACTATTTGTACAGTAAGTATTAGAGTTCTATAACCTCAACGATATACTCCATTATAAACACTGCAGGGTCTACAGACACAGTCCATGGATGGGTGACATGCAGGTTGTGTGTGTTGGTGGTTTACCACAGAATCGGACGGTTCCTGTTTTCATTAATAGTAACTAATATGCATGTCTAAGTTTGTGGCGCCAGAAGTGGGATGGGGGTTGTAAAGGACTTTGTGTGTGTGTGTGTGTGTGTGTGTGTGTGTGAAGAAACAACTGCCTTGGCACCTGTCTCCCTCAATCTGGGGACAGATGAAGTCTAAACTGCATGGACAGCTTGGAAGACAACGTTGAATCGCTTGACAAAATCTCAGCCTCCACCCTCCGTGCACATGACATGACAACAAGACACACGCCTTCATACATGGCAAATATAACATGACACTGTGCACTGTGTGCACTCAGCATAGCGAAAGCATGCAATACCCTGTACATGCCTGTCAACGCCGGCAGTGAATGCAGCAACTGCTGCCACATGTTTGCATGCATGTACCTCCCTGCCACCTCCCCCACCCCCTTTAGGCCCAGAGGAACCGACGACCAGTGAGCAGGACATGCTAGAACAGAGCCAGAGAACAGCTCTCATCCTCAGGCTGTCTCTCAGCTAAAATGGCACAGACACGCCCACCATATGCTAAGTGCAGCCTAGCACACAACATCCACTACATTATGGTTTTGGAAACTATCATAATGCAACAGTGCTGTCAGCTCCACTGCAATGAGAACTGCAAAATGTTGCATATCTACAGTTTGGTAAGATGCAGCCGAGGCCATGACTTGTCTACCAGAAGAATTCGAGATGCTTGTGCACAAAGAGTTAATAAGTGAAAGGAGCCGAGCTGCAGGGACAAGCCCTGCTGTTAGCCTGACGCCCTGCCAACTATCTGAAAAAGGCCTCACCTGGGCCAAGACACTGCAAACCATAACAGGCCTAACCATGAACAGCACAACGCTTTTCACCGAGCCAAACTAAACTAATGGAAAAAAGAAAATCATTAACAATCTCCTGCTTTTCTGGTTCTGATCCTGCAGTTCTCAACATGTGCACAAAGTAGTTTATGGAAAGAAGCTGAACTTACCGGCAGCATTGCTGGGTAGTAAAGCCCCATCATTGTCTGATCTAGAGGAACAACTGCTGACCAGCTCTCCACTTTCCTTCTGTTCTCCCTTTCTCCCTGTGTCTCTATTTCTCCTCCAGTTCCTCCTCTCCTGTGTCTGCGCTCTAGGACCATGAGCCGACGATGGTTTCAGTCCACGTCCGTGTCTCACACATTCAAATTCTCCCTCGTTCACTCCCTCTTCCTCCTCCCTCTCTTCGCCGGTGTCCCTTCTTACACTTCTCCAGCACGCAACTCTCTCCGCCTGTCACTCTCTGCCTCTCTTTTCTTAGTCTCCCCGGCCCTGCTGCTCTGACCCCCCCCGGGGCCTTTACGTCTCTCTCCTCCTGACAGCCTGAGTCTCTCCTCTCCTCTCTCTCCCTCTCTTCTTCTTCTTTGCTCTGCGTCTGTCATTCACACACACTCACGTTACACGTCCTGGTGCTCGCCCTGCATCCTCTTGTTCCCGCCCCTCTTTTAAAACTTTCCCTCCCTCTCAGCCTCAGTCCCTCCTATTCATCAAAGCATCCATCCTTCCATGTAGCCATCTAACATTGTGTCTGGATGGAGTCAGAAAGCTGTTGTTGCTGTCTCCTCAAACCCCTGGAGAGAGAAAAGGAACAGGAAGGGATAAGATGCTGTCTTCTCTCCACGCGCTGACTGCCTCAAAGTAAAGAACACGAGCGAGACCCCCACTGCATTGCAGCTTTTTTTGATGAGTTATTTATTGCGTGGCAGCCTGTCAGCTCCAAAGAACAGTGGTAGGTAGGCCAGTCGGTAGACAGCTAGGTAGCTAGCTGCGCGCGTAGGCTCCAAGATAAACATCTCTCTGCTGCAGCTGCCTTCATCACCCAGGTGGACGTCTCACAAAACTGAGGGAGCGCCTGCACTGATTCCAGTATCTAAACCCCAACCTGAACATGAATCTGTATCATGCTGCATTGCGCCTTTTCCTTCTGGCTCGGGCTCAGTTCTCTCACTTCCCACCACTGTATTGTTAGGAGGCGCTTAATTTGCAGAGATGAGAGTGCAGTTCCTTGCACTGCATTTTCATATGGGAGGGACTGAACTCTGCGGAAAAAAAGCCCTGATGCCAAGCTTTCAGACATCTGCTGAGTCTGGCTAGAACTGGGTCCAGAGGGATGGAGGGAGGGCAGCATAAGTGATTGGAAGTGGTAGGGGGAAAGGGGGGCAAATGAGGGGAGCTGCTCTGGAGAGGGGGGGGAGGGGGCAGAGGGACAGTGGATGGGAGCGAGAGATAACGGGATAGGGAGATAAGTGGATAAAGGTTTGGGTGAAAAGAGGAGCGAGGGATGACAGGATTAGGGCTGTAAGTGAGGAGGATGAGAGGATGAATAGGGGATGATCTGAGGATTAAGCACACAGACTGAACACAGAGATAAACAAACACACACACACACACACACACACACACACACACAAACACACACACACTGAATGTACACACAGATGCTGTGATCATATTCATGCGGCTGCCGCACCTTGGCTGAGAGACAGACATACATGGACTCAAACAAAAGGCTATACCCATCCTACACTCATCAGCTCCAGCAAACAAAGTACTGCTTCTTCAAACACCAAACCATCGACAGATGATCAATAGTTCAACATTAACTATTCCACATAATAATCCACATTCAACACTTTCAGAAGAACTGCGGTTTCTAATGACAAGGTTAGGCAAAATGCTTAGGTGTGTAGTCTCCACTCTATATTGTGTGTGTGTGTGTGTGTTGTTAGCCTTGATCTTTGCAGCAAAACACAGACATTCATGGCCCCATAGGTTTGAACAGACTTGCTCACCCTCTCACCATGCACACATATGAACGCACACATGCACACAGACACACAGCAGTAACCCACATGAGTCTGACTCTGTTTAACACACTCATATTGACACAAGCAGACCTACAGGCAGTTCAAACATGCATACATAACACAAGACGGGGGGGGGTGGGGGGCATTACCAAGACAAATGTACTGCAGCATGAACAAGCCAATCTGGCTAAGCTAAGCTTGGTTAGCCCCATTTGCATGATAACCAGCAGCTAGTGCGCTCGAGACTCATAATATATGTGTGCTCAAGGGCAGAATACATTAACAGGGACGACTTTTAAATCATTTATAAAACAAATGCAGCAGTTGGCTCTGAGTTTAAAAGATGAAAAGGAGGAGTTCAGATGTACTGTAGATTACAAGTGTTCTCTGCCCAGATGTTTGTCTTACGAGCAAATAAACCCAGGCAGGGCCAAGACAGGAATATTAGTCTGCTCTACCCGAGCAGCTGACTATTGTATGATTTTGTGCCCTGCAGGCAAGTCATCTTAAATAACTCTCTTCCATTTCTGTCTCATTGCTGCTCCACTTCTCTGCCATATCATCTCATCCCTTACGTGCTTTAAGTCTATAGCGCAGTCGATATTTTTGCTGTCCGCACAAAACAGGCATGAACTAAATACACGGAGAGAGAAATTTAAATCTGCATAAAATCAACTTTGAACCTGAAAGACAAATTAGTGTGACGTGGGCCTCCTCCTCCTCACGCTCTCAGAAAACTGTATTTCCCAAGAAAGGAGACACTGACGTTAGAGCAGGAGTGGAGAGTCAAAATAAAGGAAGAATACATGAAAGGGGGGCTAAGGCCTGTGAGAATATCCCATGTAATAATATGGGGAGGGAGGCAGGGGGCAAGCGGACTCACAGACCAACACTCCCCTCCTGTGGCACTGGCAGAGAGCTGCACATCCCAAACACTGGAAATGCACGCACGCACACACACACGCAAAGAAAAAGGTGCACGCTTGCAAGCTCTCAGATACAGATGCCTTTATCCCAGACACACTCAAATGACACACACACACACACACACATCCACACACAAGCACTGGTTTGAGCCGCTCAATGTGCTCTGCTGCTTGGAGGTAGATAAGAAAATAGTTGGCTACTCTGCCGCTGCACTGCACACATAAGGCACTCATTACTGAGAGCAATATGCATGGAGAGACACGCAGAATGAGAACGACACTAAGGGAATGAGAGAGGCACAAAGAGAGAGAAAAGCGGGAGAGGATAAAAATGGTTGTGAGACAGTGCTACATGTGGAGCGTGCAGGGCTTGGTTTAACGACGGTGCTGCATAATTTCTCTCTGGGTCAGTCCTTCAGGAGACATCTCCTCAGTCACTACCAGCTTTTATCAATTCTTCTAATGGCCATCATTTATAAGCTGCCACGGGCTGAAGCAGGAGAACTTCATAATTGCCTTGATAAGGAAGTCTCAGTGCAGCAGAACCCATCGTACTGGGTGACAAACACACTGGGCTCTCCTGTGAAGAACAAAAGGGCTGGTTTATAAAAATGTGAACTAAACTGTGTGGAAAATATAGCTCACTTTAATTCTTAAATTCAGAGAACGTAGAGTGAAGCTGTGCTTGTTTCAGTGGATACCTTCTTTCAGTGAGCACCATTAGATCCAATAAACTTGACAGATTCTCTTGGAGCTTTCAAGCTTCTTCAAGGCGATTGGGCGGATGAAGACGAGTGCGTCTCGAGTGATTCAAGGTTTCTGTTTTACATTATTTCTTATTTATTGTTACAGTGGTTTGCAAGCAGCCGCTAATCTCTTACCTGAGTGAGAGGTGGGTATCCATGGAAACCAGGGTTTAAAGGCTCATTGTTCTGCAAAAGACAACAGGAGAGAAGAGAGAAGAGTAAGTGGGAGGGCTTTTGAAAAATGCACGAAACAGTACGCTCCAAAACTTTCTACATTCCGGGTGAAATCCGTTCTCAGACAAAAATCTCAACCAGAAAAAATAAATCAAAGTGAAAAGTCTGCATGACTGGATTCTTTCACGGCTATTCAAAGTATTTTAACAGCCTTAGAGACCCGTCCAAATATTAACAGGCTGTTGTTTCTCCAACGCCCTCGATTAAAGTCTTGAAATAATACCAGTGGTCAGTCAGCGTCAGAGCAAAGTTCAAACAAGGACAGAAGACGTTTTTCCTGGAGCAGAAACACCGAAGAATGAACAGTTAACATTGGATGTGTGGATGCCTTGACTGGTGAAGTGCAGCTTACCAAGCTTTCACATCCAGCTAACTAATCAAAATCCACTAGCGGTGTGATCCCCCCGTGCCCCTCATTGACCCTGCCCCAGAAACCAGTGTTGTGGTTAATTGCACCGTAATTACTTTAATTAGATTATTTCTGTCTCTCTCCCCTCTCTTTTCTCTGTGGCTATTATTTTCTCCTCCGTGTCATTTTGCCCCGGCAAGAGCAGCCATTGTTTGCTGCAGAGCAAGGTGAAAAGGGGGGGAAAAAAAGACAAAGAGACGAAAGGAGGGAGCAGGCGGAGGGCTGGAACAATGGGGAAAGTTTGCCAAACGATGATATTTTGACAGCAGCGAGAGAGATGACACCGGCACCATCTTGCCTGCTGGCATAGCTCACAGAGAAAACACGACCACCTAGTGAGACTCAGAGGCATGTGTCTCACTCGGCGAGAAGAGAAAAGGGGGAAGGGGGGGAGCAGAGAACGAGAGAAGGTCTAGGGGGGTGAAAGAAAGAAAGAGGTGTGTTTGTATGTATGTGTGTGTGCATGTATGTGTTGGGGGATGGGGTCTGCTGATGTATTCATTGCATTTAATCTGCAGGACTGTAGCGCAGACAAAAAAAAAAAAAAGGTTCAAATCCATGTGCTGCTGCCACTCGGCGTGAAAGCGATATTCCATTCAGCAAATGGCTCGAGTGCGGCCCATGTAATGGCGCGGCGATGAGAGGGGCAGATCTGGCGTCTCTAGAGTGTCCACAGAGTTAACCCCGTGGCCCTGACCTCGAGACGCCTGCTGTGGGAATCACTTCCTGATAGCATTCTTTCAGCCAATCATGGGAAGGAGTCTGAGACGGCGACACAGACCGACACAGTTTGTCCCAACGGCCATTAAAGCTGATCCCTGAGAGCTAGCTTAAACGCAGCAGTGCAACCATTTGTGAGACTATATCTTTCGTCCAAAAGCAGATGTGGTTGTGATGTATGAGTGAAGGAGAGAGGGCGTCTAGACAGAGCCGAGGAACCCGAGGAGGAATGAAAGTATGAGGTTAAAAAAACAGACCAGATGTAAAGAATAAGTAAGAATGAGGGAGAAACATTTTTCTTTTGATGCTCGTGCTTAACTCTGACTGAGTACACACGTGTGTTTGCGTCCACACTCGGGGCACGTCCTTGTCTGAAACAACCCTTTCTTTGTCTCCGCTCTTCACTTCCTGTTTCATCTGGAACCAATTTCCCCCTCGTGCCTCGTCCCCAGGGGGAACACTCTCCTTGGTGCGCCACATTTACAGGGGCATGGACTGGCTTGTATTCAGTAACACATGGGCTGTGTAGAAGCTGCCG